CCCGGCCCCTTCCTGCGGCTTCGCAGGAACCGGGGAAAATGGGGGCTTCCCCGCCCGGAGGCTGCGCAGCCACAGGAAGAGGCGACTCACTACCTGGTAAGTAAAAAAAATTCTGTATCCCCTGCACCCAAGTACACCCCGCTGGTTATATTAGCTAAATTACAGTAACTAAGTGGAATCCCAGGCTGGAGATTGATTGACTTTGACTCTCTCCCCCTCCCCCCAAATTAGAGCAGCCCCTGTCCGCTGTGGGCCTGGAATAGCCCCCTGCCCATGGCAGGGGGGGAGCTGCGCCTGCCCCCATCAGTTACCTGGAACTGGTATGCATTATCCATTTGTGGTGATGCTTACCGGTTAACATTTCACATCCCTACTCTGCATATCACTGCTCTAAAAACAGGCCCCGTCAAAAGCTTCCATGCCATTCATAGTTATTCAAACCTAGCACAGATTTACATTTTTCCAATTCATACAAACCAGTAATACTTACTGCAGAGTAACAACATTTATTCCAGGAACAGGTCGCTCAATCTCAAGATCTCTTCGACTGAATATTGAGAGAAAAAGCTTTATTGATACACTGGAATTCAGGTATTTATATCGGGGTAGGGAACCTAAGGCCCAGGGATCAGATACAGCCCCCAACTTGCCTGGATCTAGCCCCCAAGGCTCTCCCTCCCCGCATCAGGGAGCCTGAGTTGGTGCTCCAGTCCCCTCCCCCCTTCCCCACTAGAGCACACAACATCTACTAGCCTGGGCACCCCAAGGCTCTGGTGTATGAGGGGAATATAGAGAATGCTACCTCAGGGAGGGTTAAGGGGTTTTTTTTGTTTGTTTTTTTTGATGGCCCCCAACTGATTCCCCCCCCCGGCCCCCCCCCCCCCGACCCAAAAAACGTTCCCTACCCCTGATTTATATGAACATCTACACAAGTTCCTTGGAGAAAAAGTATATAATTAAATGAAAGATTTAGATTTGTAGTTTTAATTTAACCAGCCACTGAAGTTAAAAATGACACTGTAGGCAGAGTCTTAAGATGACTGTTTGATAGAGTTAGGATTTCTAATACAGTTTTGCTCCACTGTTAGGGAGCATCTCTGCTGTATAAATGGTATTTGGTGTTTTTTTGGGTAATTGTTTTAACATGTTACATTCCACAGACTAAATGGAAAACAAAAAATATTACCTGTTGTACGAGTTGACAAAGAGATGAAGATTGGTTTGATTCATATCATTGACAATATGTTGGCGATAAGTATGGATCATATCATGATTGTTATGAATCTCTTCCTAGATTAAAACATAGTGTCATTTAGTATTAAGGTACTACTATGATAAATTGCATTGTAGCATTGCTTAATTACAGGGCATCCCTGCTATAAGTCGCCCCGGTATACATTGGTTCCACACTAGCATCATTGACACTTGTGGGAACTGTTTCATTTTATTTCCTCTCATTCCCTGCTCTTCCATCATGCAAGAAAGGACCAATTTGTGCAAACGGAATTCAGCTGCAGGAAAAAAAATTCTCCGCTTTACATCCTTTCGCTATACGTCCACTCTTCTGGACGTATAGTGGGGATGCCCTATACAAAGTAAATTAGACATATTAAAAACCCAACATCCTTTGAGAAGCTGGTTCCTCATTTCTGTTCTCAGACCATTGGTACCAATATCTACTTTTTGGGGCTGAAGTACTGCAAATTTTCTGGAATTCAGTTCCAGACTTACATGTGTTGATGTATGGTTTTATTAATTCAAGAAACTTAATCTTAAGATATTGCATGATTTGCAGTTTCCTTGTACAGTGTGGATGATCACCTGAAATCTACATCCTTTTTACAAACAAAGGATGCAAAGAAGAGTCACTGAAGACATGCAGAGCATTAAGGAACTACAGTTAAAACTGCTAAGACCCATTAAGAGCTAGACTGTTAAGAGTGCATTGGGTGAAACAAAACAAAAAAAACCCCAAAAAGTAGTAATGAGACCAAAATGGACATTCATTTTGAACATATACAAAACTGAGCTCAATCTTGCAAGAAAAAGTAGTAAAGTTTTAACGTCTTCAAAACTGCACTATATTTGAAAGTTAGTTTAATACTTTCTTGCTTGTATATAGCAAGACAGAGTATTTGATAAAATGCAGGCACAAAAGCGCTTCATTTGTACAGTAACTTTTTCCAGATTTATGACTTACTATGGTTCCAAAATACAGGAGAGCTCATAAGAAGCTAACACAAAAAGCTGTATTATACTATCAATTCTGCTTAAATATCATTGAGTCATCATGTTCTAACAATCAAATTAATTTCTTTGCCATAAGTGTATGCAGTATATGAAAGGCTACATACAAAATGTCAATGATAGGGCAAGCTGCACTTGAAAACCATTTTAATTTAAAATGTTTCTAACAGTTTGTGGTTCAGACAGAACTCAACTTTTGTGCTTTGTTTTCGATATTTTAAAATGGCACAAAAGTGCCAAGTTTCCAATGTCTGAGGGATGATACATTAGCATTGACAGGCTCAGTGCGTACACTTGTAATCCCAATATGTGGGAGACTGACACTGGCAAATCACTTGAGCTCAGGTTTTGGGCTGCAATGTGTTATACAGATGGGGTACCTAGTGCTACAGAGCCTGGCCACAGGTGCCTGAATGAACATACATGACGTGTTGGATTTAACCAAAAAAACCCGTAATCGATCAAGGTGACATCAGCATTCCCGATTAGAGCCTCAGCTTACCTTCCCAAAAAGATGTGAAATGACCATATCTGGCAGGGCATGCGCCCATCCTGAAATCTAAACAATGAGAGTTAAATGCGACATATTAAATGGCTTAATCAAAAAGGAGGATTTGTTAGCTAAAAGTAGATCTCTGCTTTCCCACGGTTAGGTCAGATATTTATACTAGTTAATAGCAATCATGTTCGAAGGCACTGCTAGAGCAAGTAGTAGGAACTAGGGATGTAAACGACTAGTCAAGTAGTCACTACAGGCAGTCCCTGGGTTATGTGGATCCGACTTATGTCGGATCCCTCCATACGAACAGGGTTTTTCTCGCCGCGGAGGAGGCGGGCGACGGGACCACCCAGACGCGCCGCGGTCCCGTTGCCTGCGTCCTCCACGGTGAGAAAAGCTGCTCCGCGTCTACCTGGTCTGCTGGGGGGGCCCGCTGTACTAGAGAAAAACTACATTCAATTTTTAAACAGTTTGGTTTTTAACCTTTTGAGTGAATCAGATGAGAGGACGCCAACAGCTCCCACATGGGCCATGTGGCAGTGAGAAGGAACTTGTAATGTGGTCACTTCACCCCACACTTTATCATCTTGATCAAAACTATGAAGTGAAAAGTGAAGAATGTATGTGGTATGGGCCAGTTAGAGAAAAACTACATTCAATTTTTAAACAGTTTGGTTTTTAACCTTTTGAGTGAATCAGATGAGAGGACGCCAACAGCTCCCACATGGGCCATGTGGCAGTGAGAAGGAACTTGTAATGTGGTCACTTCACCCCACACTTTATCATCTTGATCAAAACTATGAAGTGAAAAGTGAAGAATGTATGTGGTATGGGCCAGTGGACGCTATTTTCAAATTCTCTAGCACTGGGCACATGGTGTGCACAGAAACCTCCCAGTGGAATATAGATAGGGATGATCACTTGGGGAAAGAAAAAAAAAGCTACATGCTGCTCTTGCTTGTACAATAAAGTTGATTAGCTGAGCTTACATTTGAAAATAGTTCTCTTCCCTCAGCAAAATCTCTGACAGTAAATTGGCAACTACAATAGAATGACACTACTGGGTACAGCTATTTTATCAATCCTGAAGGAAGTACTCTAGTTAAGTTCAAAAATTGAAAAAAGTAATTCCCCTTTAATATTTCAGCTACAATTTTAGTGAGGGAATACACACCGGAAAAGGCTTTGGCTAAACTTTGATGTGTCACTTTAAGAGCCCATTGTTCAAGTGAAAACCTTCACATGCAATCTTGAAGTTATTTATTTTAAACCAAGATTTTCTTTTACCTTAGTCGCTGCCCAGTCCATCCATCCTTCAGCACAAGGGTTTATATTTATGAGAACTAGCCCTTCCACCATTTCTGGATTGTTCAGCTGTAATTTAAGACATGACATGAACATGTAAGTAGCCAAATACATATTGTAAAACAGACTAACAGTAAAGTTTAAATTGGAGGGATAATCATTTTTGGGGAAGGCATTGGGAAGTCTAATTTTATGGTGTGAAAGATATGCAGCGAACTTGTGTCTTTACTCAAAAGTAATTTGGCTGGACAACTTTGGCAATGTTTAACTTCTCCACCTTAAATGTAAGGCAGACAATTCCAAACAACCACCCACAAAAATTAACTGGATAGAGCCCCAGGCTCAGAACAGATTTGATCTTTTGAATTAGCCATTCTTTAAAAAACTTGACTGCTTAAATAAGTGGGTATGGCAGGACAGAAGTATTTGCATAGACTACAGATGTCATGTAGATTAGCTTCAAGGCTTAAGAAAGCTCCATGAAACTTACAGCAAACCTAGTTAAGATGTAGGCACCAGCTCCAGTTCCCATTCCAATAACACTTTTCAGCCTACACAGAGCAGTTATGTGCAACAAAATGAAAGAGAAAGTGTCAGTAAAAGTGCACTGAAACAAACAAGTCCATCCAATCAGTTTTTCCCTTTTAGGTCACACCTACTACATGACAATTCATGTTTATTACAGAGCAGGTCTGCACTTTGTATAAACTGTCAAAACTGCATTGATTTCAATGGGGCTTCAATTATTTACACCATTGACAGATCTGTTCCTAGCAGTTAGCAAAGTAACTCAGTGCTCTCTTGGGTTTCAGCTAAAGAGTTATTCATGGGACCTTTGTCCATCTGTATTCCAGTGGAGTGCCATCTTTTAAATTTCTCCTCATAGGGAAACCATTCCAGGTGCCTAATCCTTTTTGTTGTTGTTGCCCTTCTCTGTACTTTTTCCCCTTTTTTTTTTTTTTTAAATACACACACTATAGCTCACCAAGTATGTTTTTCTCATTTGTTCTTATTCTGGAAGGAGGTCAGCTGCCCGGAACACCAAGGTAATCTTTCTAGATACCTAGTGCCAAAACTTCTGAGCTTAATTTTAAAGAGCCTCTTATGACTACTGGACAACAGCTCAATCCCTCCCTCCCCCCAGTAGTGAAAGAGAAAAAGGCTGTTATGCCAGTTAACAAGCAACAAGTTACCAGAATACCCTAAATTTGTCTTACAAATTACTTTATCTCTTATAGGTATATGTTGAACAGTACCTATTTCAGTTCAAGGCAAAGTAAAGTATTTACAGCAATGGAGTCTTATTTTTTTAAAGTACAAAATATCAGCACAAGACAAACACCTTCGCAAAAATAAAGCATACAATCATATATATAGTTGCCCAGTATCTGTGCGTCTAACGCTGACGTACACGGCCACGCTCCATGGCCATGTACGTTAGCACCCTGCCCCCCTTCCCCTTCCGCCGTGGCACTCTGCGCCGCTCAGCTGGGCCCCGGCTGGAGGGGAAGGGGCGCTGATGTACACTGCCAGGGGCCGCGGCCATGTACATCACCGCCCCTCCTTTCCCTCCCCCGCTGGGCCCCGGCTGAGGGGCGCAGCACTCAGCCCAGCCGCCATGGCTGAGAGGGGAAGGGGGGCAGGGTGCTGACATACACAGCCAGGGGGTGGGGCCGTGTACAACACCGCCCCCTTTTCCCTCCTGCTGTAGCACTCAACTGAGTGCTGCGCCCCTCCGCCAGGGGAGTCAGCAGCGCAAGGGGCCATTTGGGCTCCCCCATGGCGGATGCGTAAGCACTCAACTGAGTGCTGCGCCCCTCCGCCAGGGGAGTCAGCAGCGCAAGGGGCCATTTGGGCTCCCCCATGGCGGATGCGTAAGGGGGGGGCGGTGATGTACACAGCCCCACACCGTGGCTGTGTACAGCCATTTGGGCTCCCCCATGGCGGATGCGTAAGGGCTGAACAGGCAGCACTCAGCTGAGCACCACGGCGGGAGGGACGGGGAAGACGGGGCAGGGAGAGATGGAGGGGAGAGAGAGGCAGGAGGAGGAAGAGAAGAGAAAGGGAGTGTGACAGGCAGGAGGGGGAGAAGAGAAAGAAAGACGGAGAGAGAGGCAGAGGAGAGCTGGGGGGCGGGAGGAGGCAGTAGGAGGAGAGCGAGCACGAGTGAGAGCGCTCAGGAGAGACGACTTGAAAATCCCATCTTATGACAGGCTAATTGGCTAGTACCTTAATAACAACAACAGCCACCTGACAAAACTGATGTAATATAGTCAGGGATATTAAGTGGAAAACCACAATGTGTATGTTTGATAAACATTTATCAGAATCCACATTAGTACAAGATACTGAAGCACTGAACATTCCTAGCATCTATCTTCTCAGATAGAGACAATATAAACTATTGACATATTAAATCACATTACATTTAAGAAAACTTTACCACCTTTGTGGTAGGGATAGAATAAGACAAAAGCAATTCTACCCAAGCTTCTGAAATAAACAGTCTACACTAGGAACAATTTAAACTAAAAAGTCTAGCCATTCACAAATCTGAACAAGCAATAACTGAATAAAACTTCTCAAAACAAGTAAGCGTCAAAATTATTTAGGAAAAAAAGACAAGTGCAATGTAGGGAGTAAGGCAGAAATAAGAGTATGAAGAACAGTGAAACTTCCTAAAAAATTAGAAAAACTAAAAAGCAGAATATGAACATGAGTTTACAAGCTGGACATTCTCCCACAAATCAGGTGATCTAGCTTATCTCTTCAGTACACCACATGCTGAAAGAACTGTCAGAACTGCACCAAGACTGAAATGGAGGCTGACATGATGAGTAAACAACTGTACTCACCCAAACTGTTTTAGTATCCCAGGGAGCATTTCAGCAAGCTGATCCATGGAGGGATACATATATCTACAGAAAAAAAGGTATAGATAAAATTTGGTAATTATCCATAGCAGCAGGCTTTCGTACAGTGGAGCAGAGTGGGACATTTAAGACTGAAGTTAAAAAAAATGCAGGTGTTACATCTACAACATTTTGTACTTCTGGTTCAATTCAGGCAAGGATCTGAAAGTGCTTTTACAAACAAATATTAAGCAGCCTCTGCACTGGTACAATGGAGAAGTCATCATTTGTAAATAGGGTAGAGTGATACCTTTGGGGCAGGGGGAAGAGGACTTGACATTTGTTTTCATTCCAATATGGAATCAAAGCCATGAGATTTTGCAACACACAACTTGGTAGCAAGGACATGGCAAACCCAAGTTCACATCCCTGCTCTGCCTGATTTGGAGCAAAGACACATCCCAGGCAAGCAATGTTCCCTGAAAGCCAAGCAGTTGAATGGCCGCCCAGGAGAGATTCAGGTTTATTCAGCTGATTAGCTGAGCGCCCACAGCATGTGTTTATTGGTGGTGCACATCTGCACATAAAATTTATTTCTCAAATGGATAGAAAAAATTATAGGGAACACTGGAAGCAAGTGTGTTAATCACGAGGCTACAGTAACCATCCTTCAACTTTGTAGTTGCAGCCATTCCACATTGTGGAAAATTAAGTACTCCTTGGGACTTACTGTTAGGACACATCTGGGCGCAGGAATTAAGTAGAAGCAGGATTTAATCCTGGACATCCCACATATCAGATGAATTTCTAAACACGAGGTTACTATGTATTCTAGGATGAGTCTCTCCTCCCTCCAACATCCCAACAGATGTGTTTTTGCAAAACATCGCAACGTCAACAAACTAAATATTTTTCTATTTAAAAAAAAAAAATGCAGTCTAGTCAAAAAAAGCTGACTACCAAATCTAAAGGTAGCTGATGTGCCGAATACCATTAGTGGTGGCAGGAGCTGTTATATCTACAGCTCTTGATTCGGTCTTGCTTACATGCTTCCGCAACAAGGAAACTAGTGCTTCAATTCTATGATGAAACAAATGCCCTTTTTAGAACTGAAATATAAGTTTTCTGCCAGGCATTCACATATCAAATTAATCTAACTATATGAGAGCACATGCACACTTTTTACAGGGCTCATTTACTGGGCTCAGTTTTCAGTCCTGCCAGTACTTTCCCATCTTGCAGAAGTGCTGCAAATTTTAATATTTGTGGCAGAAAGTACTTCTAAACACTTGCAGTGAAACTCCCCTATTGCCTCCTCCTCTCTCTCTCTCATAAGCAGGGCTCGACAAATAATACAATCTACTCGCTCGTGGTGAGTAGATTGTAACCTGGAAGAGCCGGGTTCAGGTGATCTACGCATGTGTAGAACGATCTGTGCATGCGCAGATCGCTGGGCAGCACAGCTGGCAAGCGGGGCTCGCTGCGGTTCGGCGAGCCCTGCTCATAAGCATGTTTCTTAAATGTCAGCAGGCAATGAACGGCCTATCAGTGAAGTTGCTCCTGGAGCATTACTCTGGCTGCATGGTTGCAATGTCACTGAAATGTGATCCACCATACCTCTGTACAGGAAAAGCAGACGGGCCAAATTTTAATATTACAAACTGGCCCATGAGGTTGCAATGCCACTCAAATATGGACAAGTTGCCTGAAACACAGGGACAACTAAACCAAATAGTGCTGTGACCTGGCATACAAAGCATTCCTGTATGGCAGCATGCAGGTGAGTCCACAGAACTATATCCCTGGTGGCACTGGCTCATGCCCCAATTAAGAGAGGGAAGACTTGCTGGCTGAGGGAGAACGGGGTCTCTGCAGGAGCAGGGACCAGGATGTGGTCTCTAGTAGGGAGGCAGATGCTAGATTTTGCCACCTAACCCCTCGAGCAAGAAATATCTGAACTGATACCATCCCAATCTCCACCCACTGTGGGCTACAATGTTAGCTTTTTTTTAGTAGTAGTATTTTGAAGTATTTCTACCAATATAATTTAAGAACATATGCTCAGGAGACAAACTAGCATTGGTGAAATATCTAATCCAGTGATCCTGACAGATTCAAGTGATATTCCCAATGGGCAACTCAAAGTGACAGCAAGCATCAAAAACAGATACTCCACCACACGAACAAATTGCATCTGTTTCCTAAACACTGTTGGCTGTGGTATGTGTAGGCATATTTCTTTGGCCAAACAGACCCTAAGAATTTTTGCAGCAATATCAGTTAGCATAATTTTTTTTAGGGGACCATATTTCTAAACTGGCAAAAGCACTAGTGTAGATATAGTTGAACCGGTGGGAACCAGTGTTCCCTCTGGATTTTCCATCCATGAGAAGAGTAAGTTTTGTCTTGTGCACCAATATTGAAGTTATGTGTGTTTGTTTGGATATGTGCAACCATTGCACCCACCAATTACTAACAAATATATATCACACCCACCCACCCAAATAGAAAGAGCAGACTAAAAATAACATCCCTATTTCCAGTGTCTTGTTCTACCCACTAAACCAGTGGTCTCCAACCTTTTTACACCTAAGATCACTTTTTAAATGACAGACCAAGCCAAGATCTACCTCCCCACCCCTTCCTTGAAGCCCTGCCCTCTCTATTCTCCTTCTTTCCATCACTTGCTATCCCCAATCCTTATACTGCTACTTTAAAAAAAAAATTCCGACCATTCCTCGCAGCTACTCACCTGTGCTGTTGCTCGGTGAGTAGCTGCTCCTCAAATGAGGAAATCTAATGTAAATGTACTGCGTAGGCACGCAGTTCAGAGAGGGCTCAAGAGCTATTCTTAGAGCCTCCGAGATCTACCGGTAGATCGCCATCTACTGGTTGGTGACCATGGCACTAAACCATACTCTCTCCACTTCTCCCTGAAACAGTGCCCCTTAAGGAATGCACTTTAGAATGGTATAATGAAAGGCCATTCTTTCTAGGCAATTTAAATATTGCTTTTAGCCATCTTGATTACTTAGCAGGCTTGATTCTATTCTGATTTTAAAGCTTTTCTGTTTGTAAAAATGCAAGTCTTATAAAAAACAATCACTCGCAAACCAGGTCTGTAATCTAAATCTTAACATGGGATTTCTGAATTTAAATTCAGTAATATTCATGAAGGGAAGTTCCCTGTGAGCCCCTGGCACAGCAGGTCAGTGCTCGCCTCTCCCCGCCCACGGGCTGCCCTACACCCCACACTAGGGATGTTAAATTTAGTTTAATCAATTAATCGACTAGTCAATAAGTGGGGGAGCCTCAGCAGGCTTAGCTGCCGACTCCGGGAACTAACTCCGCTGCGGCTCTGCCTTTTAAATGTATTAAGAGTCGGGAGGGACCCAGCGTGAGCTGAGACAGATGATTCCTGGCTTGTGCCTGGTCACCACTACCCCCTGCCTCCTCTCTCTCTCCCTCCTCCCTCCCCCCCCCCCGCAGAGACAGTGCTGGGGGGTGGGGTGGGAGGGAATCAGCTTTTAAGGGCAATCCAATCTTATTTGGCCAAAACATTGCATATATACTTTGGTCAAGATGATCCTTTTAGATGTCAGCAGGCTTTATTAGTACAAAGACTTACATTGAGCAGGATACACAAAGGATTTCCAGCAGGGCTACAAGACCATACTCAGAAGTTAACAGCTTAAGATGTATAAGGCATCCTATTACGGAACTATTTTTGTTAATATTGAACAAATTGGATTTTCTATTTAGCACTAGCTACAGGACTATAATGGATTTCTATGTAGCACTAGCATTTTAGTTTATCAACTCTTCACTAGTACTTCTGCTGTTTTACCCCTTAAAAAGTAATTGATCTCAGATTTTGTGGAGTACTTAAAACAATGTAGGTATTTAACACACTGTATATACTCTAAGATTTCATTTTATGTTTGTGCTTTGGATAGATATAGCTATGAGGGAACAAGATATAGCTCTACTGCAACTGTAAGAATAAGGAGCTAGAAAGCATTCTTTAGAGATGAAATTAGTCAATCCATAATTTAAAGTGACCAAAGCAGATTCCTTCAAGAGCTACCTTGGGAGTGTTGTCTCATTACAGTTCTAAGAAAAAAAACAGTGTATTTGAGGACCCAGATTTTGATCTCACCTGATTACTGAAGTGGAGAGTCTAAAAGCATAATGGAGTTCAGAACATACAAAAGGTTTCCACACTTGTTTAAATAAAATTGCACATCAAGGATATTTTTTGATCAATTAATAAGACAACCCTGCAAGCACCAGCTCCAACTCACCCAGCTGGGAAAGATGCAGCTCCATCGTGTTGACCTGGTGCATCCACATGACAGACTGCAAAGTGGTGTGTTATTTCCTGCATATCTTCAAAGTTGAAGAGGGGGTTGAAGCAGGTTTTGTCTTTAAGAAAGAGGGAGGGGGAGAGGGAAGAAAGAATGTAATGGTCATTACATTAGAAGGAATGTTTATATAATCTAGCGATTACAAAAAATTGCAATTTGAGAGTTTGTATAATGTTAGTCTATGTTTATTTGCCAAGATCTAATTTCAGTAACTTGCAATATGGTTCAAGTATCAGAGGGGTAGCCATGTTAGTCTGAATCTGCAAAAGCGGCGAGGAGTCCTGTGGCACCTTATAGACTAACTGAAGTGTTGGAGCATAAGCTTTCGTGGGCAAAGACCCACTTCGTCAGATGCATCTGACGAAGTGGGTCTTTGCCCACGAAAGCTTATGATCCAATATGGTTCAACAAGCTCCACTTTGTTACATTCTTGTGGAACTGGCAACTCTATTGCTAAGGGGATTAACAAAATGCAGCTTTAAAGTAATAAAGCAAGTTAATACCATTTAAATGCTTTGAGACAGAAAACTGAACAGTTTCTCCTGGAAATTTTTCCATTTAAGTAGTTAACATTCTGGGAATGGTGGTCAAAATTCCTGGCAGACCAAAAATCAAGGAAATGCCCTCGACATGAAAGAGAAACTAGGAAGTATTTATCCCAGGATTTCGCTTTTAAGGCAGCTTCCATTTTACTTGGCTTTGGTCAGAGTTAGAAAATGAAAAAAGCAAAAAGAAGCAAATCTGAAGAGGTGGAGCTGACATGCAAATCTTTTTTGTAGTGTTTGTCTGTCTCCTATTATAGCTACAAGCAGAATATGTTTAAAATGAAAAAAAGTTTGACAAGAATATTTTCAAGCAGATTAGGTCCAAAATTTAGGCTTATTTTGAAAAAATGAGAAGGTCATTTAAGTTTTCAGAAGCTTTTTACATTCAGAAGAAAATAAACCTGAACATTTGCCCTATTGCACGAAGGTAAGACCCAGACAGTAAAAACCTATTTACAACGTTCAACATGAAAAGCAATTCACAAATTAGGCAAATGAACCACAAATGCATAATTTTTACATTTTTCTATTGTTACTTACTTTAACAAAGTTAAACATTGTTATGCTACACACCCCATTAATATCACCTATAAGAGTATTTTAATATAATGTGATAAAATAGAACTTTAATAGCAACACCAGGTTTTCCTTCCCCCCTACAAATAAATCTTATAATCAACAATTGTGAAAGCCCAGAGACCTATACCTAATCCATGGAAAAAACAAAATGAAGTATACGGAAGCTTCTATCACACCACTGAAGAAATAAGTTACAGTATGCTTGCTGATGGAAAAAGTAAACTCTTCAGGGCAGGGACTGTGACTTTCTATGTGTTTACATAGCATGTAGCACAATGGACCCCTAATCCTAATTATGATAGACCTCTGGAGGGCACTAAGGAAAGAAATGCTACTTGTGGAATGACAGTGGCCAAAACCCATTTGGTATTAGATCTTGACTCTTTGTAGCATTGGAATGAATGAATTGCAGCTTGCAGCTGTACAAGATTATGCTATGCAGCACTGAGAGGAAAGCTTCACACTTTACACTGACACCAGTTAATTGTCTACAGATTTATTTTGGTTTTAATGTAGAGAGTTCTAGACACCTTGACACACTAAGGGAATGTTTAGACTACATGCCTCTGCCGACAGAGGCATGTAAAATAGTCTACTCCACATGGTCAATGAAGCATAGAAAAAAAAACAGGCCCGCCACACTGTGCCGACAATCGGTTGATCCGGCACAACGCAGTAGTCTAGACGCAGATCGGTCAGCTGGGGAAGCCTTTGTCGACCGCTCCTGTAAGCCTTGTTTCATGAGGCATAAGGGAGCAGTCGACAAAGGCTTCCCCTGTCGACCGATCCACATCTTGACTGCCGTGCTGTGCCAACAATCAGCTGAGCCAGCACAGAGCAGGAGCCATTTTTATTTTAATGAAGCCAGGGATATTTAAATCCCCGCTTTACTGACTATGTCGAGTAGCCTATTTTACATGCCTCTGTCGGCAGAGGCATGCAGTCTAGACATACCCATAGCTACTACAGAGAAACCCTCAACAACTAAGACAATCATTCAAAAAGCAATCTTCTACATATATCTTTCCACCCTTTTGTCATTTGGCAAAACATACGCTTTGCCTTCTTCAAAGTGCCCATTAAACACGTTGCAGCAGCTCACTTGAAAGGTTCCCAGGTATAGTCTATTTGGCACAGAGCTTTCACATGTTGTCTAGATTTAATTTATATATAGAGTATAAATCCTTGTATCAAGGAAAAAAATCTACTTAGAACTCAAGCCATTTAGTGCCTTAAAAGGGTATTAAGGAAGTCATGTATATTAGAGACAAGAATAGCTCCACACATGCTTGATGCCCTTTATCTCAGTAGAAAGCATGTCACAAGGCAACACTTTCTACGCAGTAGATCTGCCTGCATTCCGCCTCATCACCCTTTTCCAGCCTGACAGCTAAGTAGCTCATGTCTACCTTCAAGAATTAACTTGGGCCCTGGCTCATCAATACGTCCATGTTGGTTTGTTGCATAAAATGGCTCACAATGAAGTATGGGATGCAGCAAAGAACAATAGGGAGCAACCTGCTCCGTGCAGCAGTTTACTGATCTGCCACACCAGGATCCTAATTTTACACCCAAAGAGGATGTGCTGCAAAGGCTATAAATTAAAGAACCACAAAGTGACTAGCTGTTGCAGCTTGCCATCAGGGTGATGTTGCATGAAAGATCACACTTACGATTCAATCCAATATCATGGTAGGTTAAGATGGCAGGCCTGTTTCCTTTGGGAGTCCCATACATAGTAACATGGACAGAACCATGCAGAGTCTCAACATCTTGCTCCTGCAAATAAGAAACAAAATCAATTACTTATTTAAATGCTCCACTAAAACATCACCAGATCTTCTGAATCATTCACATCCAGTAGAATTCAAACATTCAACGTGAAAGGAAAAACCTCAAGAAACTCACAGAAATATTAAGACTCATGATACAGACACCAAGCTCACGGTCATTTTTATTTTATGGGACAGACGTGTGTCTATAGATGTGTTTTAAATATCAGACTGAATATGATAAGGGGAAGGGGCATAAAATTTGCTGCTCCTGTAGGCCAAATTATTGCATACATGGAAGGCCTCTGATAGGGGCCTATCTTTCTCATTAAGCAGATATCAGTAGCTGTAGAAGTTGTGGCTCAACCATGTCCTAATGCCCAACATCTGCATGGATTAAAAAAAATAAGTTTGAAGTTTGCCAACTGATCTCTTTTCTACACTTTACCCTTAAGACCATGCATATTAAATTCTCAACTAAGTCTTATGAGAATAAGTCATAAGCTTTATGTTGTAAGTATCCAAAAAAAAGTGGTGGGAGTATAGAAATTTGTGAAATATTTTATTCACACTAATGGTCTACAGCATAACCAACTTAATGCTTACCTACTGATATGGACTTGAAAACATCATGAATATGTAGTATAAGTCATTCAATCTCCCTACACCTATGCAGTTAATATCAACTACAAGGGGGTAGGAATTAGGGATGTGAACGTTTAACTGGTTAGCATCACCCTTATCAGATAACACTTACCAGTTACAGTAAGCCAGATTATAGTTAACCAGCAGGGGATAGAGCAGTCCTCTATCTGCTTCTGGCAGAGGGCTGCTCCAGCCCTTCTGGACCCACCGTGGGCAGAGCACGCTCCATGTGGGATGGACCAACCCCTGCCCACAGTGTGCCCTGCCCAGCATGCCAAAGCCAAGGGTGCTCCAGCATGGCTGGAGCAGCCCCAGCCCTTGGAGGAAGGGGGGCACTCCAGTCCAGACAGGCTGGAGAAGCTCTCCTGCTTACCCCCATTTAATCAGTTAAGTGATTAATTGGGAGGAATGCAAGCCAAAATAGAGAAATAACTTCACTAGATACTTAACCTAAATACATTCAGGTAGGTAGAGCCTGATAAAACTTCAGATATTTAAGGAACTACCTGAAACAATCTCCAAGAACTCCGAGAATAAGCAAGGCTTGCATAGAGACAGAGAAGAGCAAACACAGAACTCTTAAAAAGGGTAACAAAGACCTGAGAAATTAAAGACCAGTCAGATTAATTTTGATACCGAGAAAGATACTGGAACAAGTTACTAGGTAAGAGGGGTGTTAAATTTCGATTAATCAGCTAATTGAGTAGTCAATGTATTTCCATCGACTACTCAAATAGTCGGGGAGGGGGGGTGCTTGCTATCCTGCAGTGCCTCTGCCTTTGAAATATACAAGAGCCATAGGTGCTTCTTGTACATTTCAAATGGAGAAGTGCAGCAGTCGTGACCCATGTGAACAGGGACTGTCGGTCTCCACTCGTGCGGGTTCCCCCACTGTGCCTCCCCTGCCCATCCCCCGCAGAGATGGCGCTGAGAGCAACTGGCTTTTAAGTCAGCTCCCGCAACACAAGTTCCTGCTCTCCGCCCTCCCTGCTTGGAGCCTTTGATACAGAGGCAGCAAGGGAGGGGGAGCAACTAGTTGAGTAGTGACTCGACTACCCGATAAGCCTAGGCTTATCAGGTAGTCAACTAGACACTTACATCCCTGCTAGGCAATCAGTTTATAAGCATCTAGGGAATATTAGCATTAAGGAATAGCCAACAACTAATGCCAAACCAACCTACTTTGCTTTTTTGACAGCATTACTGGCTTAATGGATGGGGAAGTGGAGACATTTTTATTTTAATCAAGGCTTTTGACAGTCCCACCATAATATTCCCATATGTGAAGTAGGAATCTAGATGAAATTATGAGGTTGGTGCACAACTGGTTGTAAGACTACTCCAATAATAGTTATCAATTGCTTACTGTCCCAACTGCGAGGACACATCTACTAACATCCAACAGAGGTCAGTCCTAGGTCTGGTACTATTGAATATTTTCATTAATGACTTGATTAATGGAATGGAATGTATGATTATAAAAACTGCTGGTGACACAAACCTAAATGGTATTGCAAGCACTTTTGAGGACAGACTAGAAGTCAAAATTATCTTGACAAATTGGTGTGAAATCAACAGGATACAATTCATTAAAAACAAGTGCAAAGTACTTGACTTAAGAAAGAAAAAATAGTTAAATCCACAATTACAACATGGGGATAAGTGCTAAGGGAGGATGACTGCTGAGAAGACTGCAGGACTATAATGGATTTCATATTGATTAAGAGTCAGCAACGTGATTCAGTTTGCCTTTAAGACATCAGCAGTAATGGTCTTACTCTGCTCTACAGATCTGCTTAACTCTGTACAATTCTGGATGCCACACTTAAAAATGTGGACAAACTGAGTTCAGAGAGGAGAAAGAAAAAAAAAAAAGAAGAAAGGTTTAGCAAACCTGATCTATAAAGGCTGAAAAGCTATGCATGCCTTTTTTTTAAACCTCCCGCCCCCCCAGAATGTTATAAAGCAGTGGTTCCCAAACTTTTTGGCATCATGCCCCCTTTCTGATTTTTGAGAAACCCTCACGCTCCCCCCCCCCCCCCCCCCAAAAGCAGCAAAACTCCTCCCCCCTCAACAAAAGGAACTGACCAAATCCGAAAAACAAAAATAGCAGCAAAACTTTGGGGAGTTGGGGGGATTAATGGAAGGGGCTGGATCACCTCATGCCCCCCCACCCCAGAATTTCTTGGGAACCCATGTTATAAAGGGACCCGACAACCCATCACATACATTAAGGGCTATTATCAATAAGAATGATCAGTGGTTCTCCATCACGACGGGAGGTATGAAATAAGATAGCCATGCTGGGTCAATGACAGTGGCCAATGCTGGATGCCCCAGAGGAAATAAACATAACATGTAATCAGGTGATCTATCCATAGTCACTCCTTCCCAACCACTGGTAAACAAAGGCGAGGAACACTATCCCTGCTGATCGTGGCTAATAGCCATTGATGGACCTATCCTCCATGAATTTATCTAGGTTTTTTTTTTTTTTTTTTTTTTTTTAAACCGTGTTATATTTGTGGCCTTCACAACTTCTGTCAAAGGGTTCTAAGTGTTGACCATGTTGTGTGGAAAAAATAAATAAATTCATTTTGTTTAACCTGCTACCTATTAATTTCATTTAGTGACCTCTAGTTCTTGTATTAAAGTGGTGCTATTTATTCCTTCTCACTTTTTCTACACCAGTTATGATTTTATAAGACTCCATGTACATTTCCCCCCACTGGGGACCAGGGTCAGATTAAGGAGGGGGAGCTAACCGGGCAGCTGCCTGGGGCGCCAACCTATGAAGGGCGCTGGATTAAAGTGGTAAGGGGCGCCATGCGCCTGGGGCCGCGCATGTGCCATGCACCCGCAGCAAGGTTGCATATGCACTGCGTGCCTGCTGCCCAGGGCATAACTATGGCTCGGTCCGGCACTGCTGGGGACTCTTGTACATTTCAAAGCTGGCATGCCCACCTGCAGACTGGAGACAGCAGGACTTCTCACTGGCCCTGGGCTGCACTTGGAGTTCCTCATTCCGCCTTTGAAATGTACAAGCACCCCAGCAATGCTATCCCATCACTGTACTATAGTATACAGGCCCTCAATGTTTTGGCACCTGACCACCTCCAGGTATGCAAGGCATGCCCTTTAAAGCACAACTCTTTTAAAAAGGAATATTTTCGAAGTAGCTTTGTTTCTCTCAAATGAAAGAGGAATTGTCACAGTAAGAGAACAGCCTAGAGTATCTTATGTATTTGATGTATATGTAATACAAACACAAAGAAATTAATATATACCCATGCCTTTGCAGTATTTTACTCAAATATTAGGTAAAAAATAAACCTTCCCCTTTAATTCATAACTCAGTTATTTGTTATTAAATTCAACAGTACACCTGACAGCTAAAGTTATAAGCAGAATTGACAAATTTTGGCATTAAGTTTCTCTTTTTAGTTGCATTCATGCACATTTTTGGGTAAATCTGCACCAAAAATGCCCAGACCAGACCACAAACACCACCAAGTGAGCTTGGCTAACACTATCTGAGCAATGTTCAATGTCACACTAACATTCAGTATCAAAAGTCTTTGTACACCTCTCCATTCTCAATACTTGCTGCATTATTTATTAGGTAAGCAGTGTCTGCCACATCCAGCACCATTTTTTAGACACAACAGCGTGATATAAATCCAAAAATTCACAGGCAGAAACAAGTAGCAGCTTTTAGTTTGACTCTAGAAAACTGGGTCATGAACACAAGCTACTATTTCTCTGTGTAAGCTCACTGCTCCCATAATGCTCCAGATTTAAACAAACAAACAAAAAAAACCACCCCACTAAAATGAACTAATTCAGGAGAACATCAATCTTAAATAGGATTTGTGTACGGGCTGACCCGAAGAAATACCTATTCAATACAGTTTAGATAACTACCAATGGGGAAAATGTAACTCTACTGTACATAATACAAAACATATCTGTTGAAGAAAAAGCCACTTAAATACAGCTAAGCCAAATTAATTTTTGGATGCTTGTTAAATGTCACTTACACTGGTAGTAGAACTCCAAACCAAACTACTTCAGATAAGAAAGTTCAAAAGCTTTTATCTCAAAGTATCTAATTCTACAGTGGGGTGACATGGGAGCCATACCCATATTTTTTTCTGAAAAGTAGAGTTTGAAGAAGCTTCTACTAAAACTTGGAAGGCATGTAAAGGCTTTAAAATAGCACTTTTTCTTCCAATGGGAATAAGGGCTACTTCGTTATACCATGACACATTAATTAATTAGTTTTTGTACCTCAAGCCTGAATTCTATCAACATCTGTCAGACTTGTAATTTACTGGAAATTAAGCAGTTGTCACACTAAAAATAAATTACATATACACGAACTACATAAAATATTCTAGGCTTTTCTCTTCCTGTGTAACCAATCCTTTTTAGTGTTACACACATGCATATGACTGTATAGAAAATAAGCCACAAACTATAACATTTATGGACTTAGCACATGTGAATACCAGGAAGGAGATATGCTATTTAGAATATTGTAGACCATGATAAGCTCACATATCCATTCTCTCTCTAAAATAGAAAATGGTTGTAGGGTATGAGATACTTACTACTTGGTGGCTGCTGTAAATATTCTCTCCAGTGGCAATCACTAGCCTCCCTTCATAAGCATCTACATTTAGAACTTAAATATTTTTTCTCATTTCATCTATTTGATAGAAAGATCTTTAGACTTAAGTTATACAAAGGCACTGAAATTTAACCCGTACAACCCACTGACCCTTCACTCTTCCTGTTCATCCAATCTAGCATGTGTCTTAACTTCAACCGCCAATATCAAATTATTTCTGGTTAAATCACATTTAGGATACAGAAACAAAAGGTTCTAACAGCTGATGTGAATAAGACTGCTTCTTTAACAAACGGTGTGATTCTTCAGTCTTATTAAGAGAAGACATGGATTTTAAGTGGTTTAAGGCTACTTTCCCAACAAGAGTTTAATCGAGAGTTCCAGAAATTCTCATATCCCTGGCCAAATCAAACCAGTTTCCTTAATTATGTAAAGCTAACTATTTCACATCTCCACTGATCCCATTACAGATCCAGAGACCTGTCTGTATGATGTGGAGGATGGAGTGTTTTAAACTACAGAGCACCAAAAACAGATGGCAGCACATCCCAATCAACGTCAACGTTATATTAAGAGGCTCTTTACTGACCGATCTGTATTAAAACTCTGTCTTGGAAAAAAAAATCCAAGGTATACTAATCCGATAGAAGGATAAAGACAAACATGCCATCTGTCCTTACATCTCTTGCTTTAAAAAAGGCACATCACTACTCAATGTCCAATAAAAAAATAAATAAATCAGAAAGTTACAGGAGAATATTCTATATAAATTCAATGAGAAAAGACGTCTTAGTTTGAAAAAATTAAAGCATTTTAAAATAGACATTTTTTTCAACTGACATTCTCTGTCTAGTCAAAGTTAGAGGAATGAAAGCAAATTTGTACATTGATAGCATGCAGAGAAGTACATTTCCTCTTCTCTAAAACTACTAAAGAAGGGGGGAGGGGGCTAAGCTGAATGTTTAATAGGCAGACCTTTGTTTATTATTTAAGCTATGTAATATGCATTCAGGACAACTGTAGGTACTAAAAATAAAATCATTTGCTTAAAACCATATATTTGGTGCTTTAACTCAAAATAGTGCTATATCAACACTATTTGAAAGCTTATATGCTTATACTTAATCCGCTATTCTTTTCAAGAGCTTTTATTCTGATGTATTTAAAATGTTCCATTCCCTCACCATGCACACTATGTTTCTCTCCTTCAAGTAGTTCTAGGGAAGCAGCTTTCCAGCTTTTATTTTTTAAGCTAAGAAAAGAGGCTTAAACATATGTAAACTGTATTCTCTTGGATGACTGAAATTAAATAGAGCATAGTTTGTAAATGTGACTTTAAATTTTCATTCTATTTCTCTATTGATTTTTTTGAAGTACTTTTACTTCTAATGTAGTACTCATTGTTTGGTTCTCTAATTGCAGGGTGATGGTGATTAAACAGTTTTCACTGATTTTTTTTTTAAATTGTGGTGACCATCTTTATTTATGTTTAGTTGTGTAAAAGCTTGTTCAAAGTTTAAAAATAGGGTCCAAATTTCAATTGACAGGATGTGTGTTCAACTCCATGCACCTAATATGGATTTCAGTGATGTGGAGCACCAGAGTCTTCCATAGCAATTGTAGTTGATCATCTCAGAGTAAGACCATTTAGAACACATGCTATTAATACCATCTAGATGACATATTGGTACTTTGCTGCAGGCACTCTAGTTCTGGCTAGAGATAGTGTTTCTGTGTATCTTGGCAAAATAATATAACACATTTGCTAATCAGGATGTGAACTATCTCCCTTCACGAATCCATTTGGGACAACATAGCTATGGGGTAGATACAAATACTGAAAAAAGGCAGGCCCTTGTCAATTTATGACATGGTGCTCTTTGTAAGCGGATTAGAGGGGCCTGAGGCAACCATCACTTTACCAGTGAACAATAATGGCCAACAGCCATGGAGTTTTAAGAAACAATTGTAACACATCTCTGCTGCCAAGAGAGCATAGTGCAGCAGAAACAGTTGCTTTCAATTATTTGGGAAATTATGACAAATGTCTAAGTACATAAGGATTGTTAGGTCCTAATTTATTGAGATAAAACTAAAAAGTCTGTTCTATTCTGCATCAGTTTTGGCACACGGATGTTAACTATCATGTTTTTATGTAAACGCATAACCACTTCAGATTTTAGCAATTACAAGTTTACATGCCAGGGAGGGAGGTGGGGAGCCAGTGCTCTTGGGGAACCAGCTTTAAGCCATCATGAGCACTAGCTCCTGCCTACTCCCTGCCCCAGATACACACACTATGCCTCTGATGAGGCAGCAGCATAGGGGGCAGGTAGCTCTGCGGGAGCTGACAGACAGGGCATCAGCTCCCACCTCTTCTCCTTCCCTTGTTGCCTCTGATACGCTCATCTCCCTCCCTCCACCCCCGGCAGCTGCCTCTAATAGAGGCAGCTCTCTGGAGATCTAGCTTAAAAGTTGACTCTGATACAGGGGCAGCAGAGGGGCTGAATGTTACCATGACTGTTAACAGATGAGCCCAGGTTCATTGGTTAACCATGTACCCGGGTACATATTCATATCCCTAGTCCATAGAAGTTTCCATCAACTGGAAATAGTAAGTCACTAACAGAAATATTTTAGATAGCCCCATACAATTTTGAATACTCCTAATCTTATGATTTAAGATAGGCACCCAAATCCATAGTTCTGGGGAGAAAAAAATTCAGTCTATGTATTTCACGCCAGAGGTACTGATCAGTTTAACTCTCATTAGCATTTGACTTTGGGAAACTTAGCATCTCTTGGGAAACAAAAGTCAGGCCACTAATTTAAATGTATAATTTTAAGTAAAAAATAGCACATGCTGCCAGTTTTATCACTAGCAATTCAACATGCTACTCAATATGGCAGGTGTCTTAGGGCAAAGCAAAAAGAAAGAAAAATCACAAAGCCAGATTTGACAAAGTTATTGTTGGCTAAATGACATTTTTGGACCCAAGCCCATTGGTCTGGACTTGTGGCTTGTAAACTACAATAAATATGATTCTTGCAGTTAAGAGTCTACTTCAATTTATAAACCAAGCAAATCTGAAGTCAGTCAGAAGCGACAGAACACAAAAGGTCATTGCTAGTCATATTTAGGGATATTAGCAAACATGTTTTTAGGTAAACGTGGAACCACTGATTTTTTCAGCAGTTACATGTTTACGTGGGGGAGGGGGAGAGGAAGGGTGGAAGAAGGAAGACGGGCAGGAGCCAGTGCTCTCAGGTAGCCAGCTTTTAAGCCAGCTCCTGGTGAGCACCGGCTCCTACCTGCTCCCCTCCACTTTCCCCCACTGCCTATATCAGAGCAGTACAACAGGAGGATGAAAGCTGGCTCCCTGCATGTACAAGTTCACATGGAGCCACCTGCCCCTGTTATGCAACAGCCTTATAAGTAGCCCTATCTGATTATCTTTGCATAGTTTATAAGAACATCATGTGAAACTCTAGCAAATGTTTTACTAGGTATATCCAATCTACTGCTTCCCTCTTATCCACAAGACTTGTTATCCAATCAAAAAAAGCTATCAGATTGATTTGACATTTATTCTTTACAAATCCATGTTGACAGTTACTTATCACCTTATTATCTTCCAGATGTTTGCAAAGGGGTGCTTTTATTATTTGCTCCATTATCTTTCCTGGCACAGAAAGTAAACTCACTGGTCTATAGTTTTCTGCATTCTCCTTATTTTTCATTTTATAGATGGGTATTATATTTGCTCCCTTCCAGTCTTGTGGAATCACTCCCATCTTCCATGACTTTTCAAAGAGGATAGCTAGTGGCTCAGATATTTCTTCAATCTGCTCCTTAACTATTCTGGAGCATTTCATCAGGCTCTGGTGACTTGAAGAAATCTAACTTTTCTAAGTAATTTTTAACTTGTTCTTTTCCTATTTTAACTTCTGAACCTACCTCCTTTTCTCCAGCATTCACTATGCTAGGCTTCCAATCACCCACCTTCTTGGTGAAAACAGAAACAAAAGTCATTAAGCACTTCTGTCATTTCCACATTTTCTGATATTCAATGAAGAGGGGGAATAGAGTAATGGGTACCCTGTCCTTGGTCTTCCTCTCATTACTTACATACCTGTAGAATGTTTTCTTGTTACTCCTTATGTCTCTAGCTTGACACAGCCCTTTTGCACCTGCATGCTTCTAATTTTGTCCCTACATACTTTTGTTTATATACATTATTTGACCTAGTTTCCTCTTTCGATAGGACTCCTTTGATTTTTAGATCATTTAAGATCTTGTGATTAAGCCAGGCTAGTCTCTTGCCATACTCTCTTTCCTACACAGTGGAATAATGTACTTGGGCCCTTAATGATTTCCCTTGGCAGTTTTTCAAACTGTCTTCAATTGTTTTTCCTTTTCATCTTGCTTCCCCATGGAACCTTACCTACCAGCTCCCTGAATTTGCTAAAATGTGCCTTCTTGAAATCCATTGTCTTTACTTTGCTGTTCTTCCTTCTACCATTCCTTAGAATCATGATCATTTTCAGGCCTTCAAAGACAAACGTGGTTAGAGGGAAGGGCTTTACGTAGTGAACTTGGCAATCCACAACAAGTTTATAACTGCAAACTATGAACTTTGCTCCTCACTTATAGTTTTTAGCATTACATATTGCTTTCCACTACTCAACATTCTCCAAGAATCTCTTAGAAACTAGAGAGTAGAGATGTTACATTTCAATTAATCAACTAACTAATCAAGTAGTCAATGGAATTTCCAGCAGCTACTTCATTAGATAAGAGGTAGGGTGGGGTGCTCACTATGCCTGCTGTGCTTCTGCCTTTTAAATACAGTAAGATGGGGTGGCCATCCGGTTACAGACTAAGAGCCAATATAGTCGTGGATAAAGCACAGAGCCGAGGGAAAAAAAGTTGTTGAGAAAAAACAAGAGGGCCTGGCCGCCGCCCTTTTAAGAGCAGAGAAGGCATTGCCTTTTTAAGGCAGCCCATTTTGAAGCAACTCCAGCTCTGTCTATCAGACAGAAACACGTTACCCCTTTCAGAGCCACAAGTGCTGCAATTTTTTCTTTGAAGAGCCGCATGCGGCTCGCAATCCAGGGGTTGCCCATCCCTGCAGTTAGAGCTGCCCATAGCTCTTACTACATTTAAAAAGCAGAACAGCAGTGGGGACTTGCCAGGGGTTCTGCCTCTGTTAGAAATGGGAGAGGCAGTGCAGGGAACTAGGGGTGAGCAGGGACTGCTTAAGTCCCCACACCGCCTCTCCCTTTGAGATATAGCAAGAGCCTCATGGGTGTCTTCCTACATTTCAAAGGGAGAGGCACAGCACTTGGACCAGTATGAGTGGGAACTGCTTCAGTGTCTGCTTACGCCATTTCTCTGCTGTGTCTCTACTTCCCCTGTCCTCACTCGTGGAGACAGTGCTTGGGGGAGCAAGCTTTTAAGCCAACTCTCCCTAGCACCGGCTCCTGCTCCCTTCTCCTCTGCTACCTCTCAGAAATAGCTAGGTGGGGGCAGGAGGGGAGAGCAACTAGTCAAGTCACTAGTCAACGACCTAATAAACATATGCTAACCAGGTAGTTGACTAGTCAACTAGTTGCTTACATCCCTTCTAAGACTATACATCCATGGGCGGTGAGCAAACCTAGGGATGGGGGAGGCAAGCCCCAGTCCCACTCCTTATGCACAAGTCCCCACTCCTTCCACCCAGGGTTCTGTGGGAGATAAGGGTCCCCCTCATCCTCCAGTGGGTGTCACACAGCTCCAAACTGAGCACGGGTGCCGTTTGAAGGAGAGAAGAGGTCATGTGAACTGCCCCAGCCTTACCCAGCTCCATCTGGCATACTGGGAGAGGGTGGTACCATTCCCAGCCCTGGGGGAGACTCATTGAACAGGGGTGAAGGCTGGGGGTGGAATGTGAGGGGCTGAGCTGGCAGTTTGGAAAGGCACTGGCCACCTCGGTCTCTTATACCTGCCACCCATGTATATAACCCAAGACATGCAAGATCCACCCGCCTAAAGGAAGTGGACATACTTCACTGAAATTAGGAAAATACTTAGTACAACTGATTTCACCTTCATCCAGGCTGCTAGTCTAGGGATGTTAAGTAGCAATTAATGCCACGTGGGCATTTCCGCCTTGAAATGCACAAGAGCCCCAGTGGGACTCCCTGCTGGCCCCGGACTCCACGTGGCATGCCAGCTTTCAAATATACAAAAGAGTCCCCAGCAGAGGGTCTTGTGCATTTCAAAGAGGAGGCACAGCATGGAGCCTGGCGGCCAGCTGGGGATCCCCCAGCTGACCCCAGACTCCGCACAGCTTTTCAAAGCGGCAGCGCAGCATGGAGCCCAGGGTCTGCAAAGGAATCCCTAGCTGATCCTGGGCTCCACATCACGCTGCCGCTTTGAAATACTGTGAGGAGCCTGACGCTGGGCTCCCCATGGCATTCAAAGCAGCAATGCTGCACGGAGCAGCTGACCCCAGGCTCTGTGTGGCGCTGCTGCTTTTAAGTATCCCCTTTGTCTCCTCCCCTCTTGCTGCCTTTATCTGATAAAGGCAGCAAGGGGGAGGGTGGGGAGCAGGGAAGCGACTAGTTGACTACCCTGTCAACTATTTGATAAGCACTTGCTTATCGGATAGTCAACTAGTCCTTTACATCCCTATGCCAGTCTCATCCAATTTAACAGAATAAAACCATTTACAATTTTTTTGGATACTTCCTCAGAATCAGTTTCTAAAGGCTTGATAGTCCTTTTTACAGCTGAAGTAAGTTCTGGTACTATGGCTTCATGCTTTGTAATTTCACTGCCTTTTATTGAAAGTCATACTTCACATCAGATAATATTTGATTTATCAAGAGGTAGTGGAAAAAAATTGTACTTGCCTGAACATCAAAATCCGGAAGAAGGCGAGTGATAGCCTGTGAAAATATTGAACATATTAATGCAGAAATGTAATGCAGCTGTAAAATTAATCCCATTTAAATACACACTTATGTGAAGAACCCATATTCTATAGAATCCCCATGCCAAAGTAGCAAGATTTTAATTACTTTCACTGGAAGTTTTACTGAGCAAGTGAAGAATTTAGCCCCAAATATTTTACATACACTAGTAGTTATGCTTCAATGGATGAAACAAGTAAATATTTGCTTAATTTATAGACTGTACAATAAAGCACAGAGAAGCGAATATATTAATTTAGGTTAATCATTAGGTCAGAACAGAGGGCTCATCTATATTACAATAGGGATCAATGTTCTTGGATCAATTCACAAGACAGCTGATTTAGCAGGTCTAGGGAAGAACCACCAAACTAACCACCAATCTCTCTCTGCAGTCAACCCCTGCACTCTACACATAAAAGAGAAGAGTTTGCTAAGATGACGTTTGTCCTCCACCCACCCCGCTAACTGATTTAAGATATGTAGACTCCAACTACATTTCTTATGTACCTGGAGTGATGTACCTTCAGTCCACTTTCTGCACTAGTGTAGAAATAGGCTAAGACAAGAATCCCAGGAATTTTAACTCATTTCCTCTTCTAGCAGCTACTCTTTCTATAATAGATAATCCCTAGATGTATGAACATGCACCAATATCCACCACTCAGTCATGCAGGTGTTACTCATTTATGTGAATTTCCACTGAACTACTTGTTTTAAGGCAGGAGAAATACAACCCTTAGCATAAAGTATTAGTAAGCTTAGGGATGTTAAAATACATTTATTTTTGTAAACCTGAAATGTTCAGTGGTTACATGTTTACACGTGGGGGGCAGGCAGGAGCTGGTGCTCATGGATCCAGCTTTTAAGTTGGTTCCCTGAGAGCACCAGCTCTTGCCTGCCTCCCTTAGCTGCTGCCTCTGATACAGAGGCAGCAGTGCAGAGATCAGGCAGCTCTGTGGGAGCCGGAACATGCAGAGAGCTTTTAAGCCGGCTCCCCCCCAAGCACCGGCTCCCACCTGCCCCCTCGCAGTGCTGCCTCTAATACAGAAGCAGCGGGGGAATGACAGTATACACATTAACTTCCTTAGTATGTTTAACCCTGATGTTCACCCTATGGTTAGCCAGTAACACCAAACAAACCATCAAAAAGGCTGCCCAACACTCAGGGCCAAACCTCTCTTTCTCCAGCCACATCGCTCTGCTTCCCTCTGGTGAGTGCAGGAGGGTCCTGCTTCTCTCCCAAGCATCACAGCAAGGAGCGCAGAATGAACTGGGGCCATGTTGTTCTGCTTTCTCTCCTATCTCCCCTGCTCCCTCCCGAGCTAATTCCCCTGGATGCCCAGGGATTCTAGCTCCACAGGCTGCTGGCCTGCCTTTGCCCTTCCCTAGCTTGACATTTGGTAGCTCACATTAAGACTAGTGTGCTGCCCGCCCGCCCCAATGACGCCCCAGTTAGCTAGGTAACATCTTGTAATGAAATATCTTGTTACACCAAAAAATATCAGTGTTGCAGAAAAAGGTTTCAGAAACTTCTCAAAAGTGCCTGTAAAAAAAATCCTCCCATCTCATAACAGAACCCATTTCCTATAACCAGGAATTTAATGTTATACATATTAACACACCATAGAAAACTCTGGAAATTTTAAGGGAAGAAAGTATAGGTAACTATTTAGTTTATTCACGACAGTGATTTGTGGTGCTCTACAGATGGAAAGCAGGTAAGTAAAGATAATGCTTGCATCCACAAAGATCGTACGCTACTTATAAGACTGCTTGTGTGTTTAAACTAAGGTAGCATCTTGGGTCAAAGCATATATCTATTCCTATTCTTTCAGAGACCAATTTTTCATCTGCCTATAAGAGAGAGTTCTGCAGTTTTTTGTTAGAGATGCAACACCTTGTACATGTAGATACTTAATAGGTGAAGACTTCAACTCAATGCTTGTCCTGCTCTCATTTTAAATTCTAAGTATATTTGCATGAAAAGAAGCTCTTGTTTCTCAAGAGATTGTTTGGAATCTGGGTAATAGGAACCAGCAAAACGTTTTTATGTGAACATCCTTGACGATAAAAGAAAAGAAAATTAATACAAATGAAACAAAATTGTAAATGCATTTTCAAAGTTTTGAAACTAAGTTGAATGTAGGTGAGTGGATGAAAGAGGAAGTTACAAGATATAGGAATTAAGAGTTCTAACAAAAGATAAATGTGCAAGATTTACTATTGCCGGGAATTACAGCAACATGTTAAAACTAATTAAGGGGGCAAATCTGAGAGACTGATGTTATCTATGAAAGGATCCATGTTAAGAATTCAGTTCCATCACAGCAACTTTTAACTCCAAGAAAGAGAGAAAACAATTTTTTGCCTAGAATGACAGACTAAACAGAACAATTTGGCCTATGGCAGGGGTCAATCCCTATTAACAGGATGATCCTGGGGAGTCTCCTGTCTGACTGTGATCAGCACTTAACAGGCTTCCTGCCTGTCCCAGCCCCATGCTGCTGGCCAGTTCCCACGAGTGGTCAGCATGGACCAGTGGGAGGAACAGGGAGAGGTAGGAGTGTGCTGCTCTTGCCTGCAAGTGCCACTCTCTGCAGTTCTTATTGGCTGGAACAGGAAACTATAACAAATGGGCGTTGATGGGGGCAGTGCCAGCTAGAGGGGCAGCACATGGAGCCATATATGGCTCACCCCTGACCTTCCGGGCAAAGGGGCTTGTTGGCCCCTTCTGGGAGCTGCACAGAACCTTACACAGATACAAATGTTTATCTGTGGACAGATATCTCCATTGATCTCTGGACTCTGTTTCCAAGAAATGCTGCAGCAAAGGAGAAGAATATAATGCTACCACCCTCAGAATCGTGTCCTGAGCTGGAAGCTCCTTTTGGCCATGCACTGCTTCCAGACCTGCCACGAGGTGTGTCTCCTGTTTAGAGTTTTACAGCCCCACTGGGGGCAGTACAGCCGGGAGGAGCTTCTGTGCGGGTCACTGACTATGTGGTGGCACTGAGTTTCTTTCCATGAATCACAGCGTCTCCTGGGAGCAAAGCCCTGCGAATCAGAAAATACTAGTATCTATCTGCAGAAAGATATTTGTATCTGCACAGGGCTCTAGTGTGGGGCTGGACACTGTCAGGGAGCCTGCTTCAGCCCTGCTGTGTTGCCAGCCAGGTGATGCCTGTGGTAAGTTCCTCTCTGAAGGAGCCCACACTGCAACCTGCAGCCCCCACCCAGAACTAGCACCTCAAAATCCTAGCCCAGCCCCAACCCCCATCCAGAGCCAGTACCCCATGCCCCAGCCCTGACCCCACCCCTTCCAGAGCCAGCATTCATACCTTCTCCTACACCCCAATCTTTCTCCAGACCCCCAAACCTCTGCCTGAACCCAGCAAGTGAAAGGGGGGGAGGAGAATGAGTGACAGAGGGGGAGATGGAGTGAGTGAGGCAGGACACATCTTGAGTTTCCCTTAAATTGCAAAAAATGATCAAGGGCATAAAAAGTTTGGGGACCACTGGCCTACAGTCTTCAAGACTTTGGAGCTGCTTCATGCACAGAACATTTGGATGAGATGTTCTAAGAATACAGATGCTTTCTATCCAAGCAGACAGGTGGTCTAGAATATTTAACGGAATGTGAATCCCAATCCATGAGCACAGTGTTTGTGCTAGTCACAAGAAGGATGGCCATTAAACTTGGCTGACGTGGAGAAGAGAAGTTAAAAAAAATTCCAACAAGACTAACATTAAATCAAAACAGTACTATTCAACAAGGCCCAATCCACCTCTGATTATTTTTTAGAGACCGCAAGATGAGGCCACCAGTGTTTCTATATACCCAACATTTTCCTTTTTATGAACAAGCAGAGTAAGAATTTAACAATTCATATTAAGAAAAATGCAGTTCAACACTAGTCCCAGATTACAAGATTTTAACTGTTTAACTAAAATTACCTCATCTTTCTCTACTAGAGGTTTCACCTCTGCGAGGTGAACATCCTGGAACTCTGTAGACATGGTTAGTAGCTGGTATCTGCAAAGAAGAAGAAAACTTCAGCACATTTATATTCTTATTTTATACCAAAAAGAGTTGTAAACAGGAGGGGGAACAAAGATCACTCCCCACCTCCTAGTGTCTCAAATTAAAATTTATGAATCTTCTGGGAAACACACACACCAATTTCCCCCATCATACTTACTCCCTAGGACATTATGGTTACAAAACCAAGTTCCAATCTTTTGATCAATGCTAAAATATAGACTGCAGAGAGAGGGGCAGAGATTCCATAGCAGAAAGATGGAGTGCAATCTAGGGATGTTAAAGTGTTTATCAAGGTAAACGTGTAACCACTGAAATTTTCAGCAGTTATACATTTATGGGGGGAGGGGCAGGCAGGAGCCAGTGCTTGCACTCCCTCCCCCCAAGCTTTTAAGCCAGCTCTCCACCAGCTCCAGCAGAGCTGCCTTTCCCCTCATCACCCCGTATCAGAAGCAGCAGAAAGGGAGGGGGGCAGGCGGTTCAGTGGGAGCCAGTGCCCATGGAAACCCAGCTTAGTCTGCTCCCGCCTGCTCCGTACTGCTACTTCTGATACAGAGGCAGCAGTATGGGTATGTCTACACTACCACCCTAGTTCGAACTAGGGTGGTAATGTAGGCAACCGGAGTTGCAAATGAAGCCCGGGATTTGAATTTCCCGGGCTTCATTTGCATATAGCTGGGCGCCGCCATTTTTAAATGTCCGCTAGTGCAGACTCCGTGCCACACGGCTACACGCAGCACGGAGTCCGCACTACCAGACATTTAAAAATGGCGGCGCCCGGCTATATGCAAATGAAGCCCGGGAAATTCGAATCATTTGCAACTCCGGTTGCTTCATTTGCAACTCCGGCTGCCTACATTACCACCCTTGTTCGAACTAGGGTGGTAGTGTAGACATACCCTATGGCAGGAGGGAGGCCTGTGTGTAACTGAAGGTTAACTGATGAACCCATGCTCATTCGTTAACCCTTTTCATGTTTACACTATCACATCCCTAGTGGAAGGGATAGCTCAATGGTTTGAGCATTGGCCTACTAAACCCAGGGTTGCGAGCTCAATCCTTGAAGGATGGTATTTGGTCCTGCTGTGAAGGCAGGGGACTGGACTCCATGACCTTTCAAGGTCCCTTCCAGTTCTAGGAGATGGGCATCTCCATTCATTAAAGATACTGGAAATAGCTACCCTGTGTCTTTTGACCACGGATATTTCAACATAGGTCTTGAAATAGCGGACATGCTATTTTGGCATCCTTGAAACCCTCGTTCCACGAGAGTTAAGAGATGTCTCAAAAGAGCATGTTATTTTGAAATCTGGCATAGTGTAGATGTGCCAGATTTTGAAATATGCTATTTTGAAATTAAATTGAAATAAGATATGGTCTTGGTGTAGCATAAATTGCGTATCTTATTTTGAGTTTAGGGTACTGTGTAGACGCACCGCTATAGTGTGCTAGTGCTCTCAACCCATGGTCTACACCAGCCATGGCAAACCTGCGACTCAGGAGCCGCATGTGGCTTTCCCCCCGCCCCCGGGTGCAGCTCATGAAGCTCCCTCCTCCCTGTGGTTCATAAAGCTGCCCCTGCGCACCCAAAAACAGCCCTCTCCTCCCAGCTCCCTGTGCTGGGGAGCCATCCGGCACAACTATTAATGAAGAATTAAAGATGGTGCCAGCCGGCAAGAGCCTGATGTGGCCAAAAAGCCTCTAGATGCGTTTTCTTAACGGGGCACAGCTTCCTCCCCTCCCCCCCGAAACTTTGCCCCGGCTCTTCCTGCTGGATCCACTGATATCTTGGCTCTTTGCCCAGAATGGGCTGGCCACCCCGGTCTACTCTAAGAACATAAAAATTTGGCAGACAGCGCTTGCATGCGAGGGATCTGTCTTCTGCTGTGACCATGAGGAAAATAAACCTAAAGCCCCACAAGTTTGGCCAAATGATAAATCTTTAAGAAACTTCAGTTGCATGTGCTTAGCAGGGGCTAACATTTTCATTAGAGATCATTCAAAATTCAGTCTTTTCTGAGCATATTCAAACCTCTTAGTTATTAGTACTGACCAGACTTTTATACATATCCCACAGCAGTTGGAGAACGCTTCATCCCAGGACTACACGGACAAGCTGGACTTTCCCTGTAATTGATGATCCTAGATGAGAGTAGAAAGCCTCTCTCCTGTGCTTTCAGTGATTGCCACCCTCCCCCCCCCCCACAGCAATGTGGTATGGAGGAGAAATCTGCACTGAGACGTGCAATGGCACATCTTCTACAGGAAACTGTATGTCCATGCAAATGTGCATGACCAGCATTTACAGAGCACGGGTTGCCCACAGGCATGGTGTTGGGCCCCAGCAAAGCTTGAGACTATGGACCACTTTCTGGTGGATTGTTTCTTTACTTGGCAGGTATGAGGGCTTCTGGCTATACCACTGCAGTTGGTGGGACAAGATTATTTACAGGTAGCCCAGAAGAAATATGGACCAGCCATAAAGAATCATTGGTACCAGCTGCAGCAAGGATGGTTTCAGCAGGGGCCACCTTCTGGTATACGAGTCTCACAGGACACACTGTGCTGTATAACTGCTGTCATGAGCATTTCCAGCAGCAACACCAGTTCCCCATTATAGTGGCTAACCAAATTTCTGAGACAGTTAAGCAGCAGGCCATGGTTAAAAAAAAATGGTGGGTCTCCATCTGAGTGGAAGCAGGAGTGGGCTGGGCTGGGCTCTGGAATCAAGACTGATCTTAGGGCCATCTGGTTCTGTCCTCTGGTGGGGAGAGGATGTGGGCAGCTGAGAGACCTTGGACTCTGTATTGGGGCTGAGAACTGGGTATTGCCTGTGTTCATATTTCTTATTTTTTACATTTTCAAGGTGAGCATTTGATTTGGTGTCCTTGTTTACAGTAGAGTTTGATGATGTTGCTCTGTGCCATGCTGTTTTATCTTGGATCCCATCTTTTAATAAACACAAAAAGCACCAGACTAGAAAAGGGAAAAAATAGATTGGGACAAGGAGTCTGGTGAAACCAGGACTTGATAGAGAGGCGAGAAACTGGCTCTGGGATCCCAAGGTGCAGTAGGGAGATCTCAGACTGGACAAGAAAATGGGTGGAAGGAGAAAATACTGAGTTTTCCCAATATTCACTTTTAAACCATGCTTTGAATAGTTATGAATTAGGGATGTTAACTAACTTTTTTATGTAAACATCTAACCATTTGAAAATTTAGCAGTTACATGGGCAGAGGGACAGCAGGCAGGTGCACCAGATCCTGCCTCCCTCCCAGATAAAGAGGCAGCAGTGTAGAGAGCAGGCAGCTTCCCACAAGTATGGTCTCCCACCTGCCCCCACTACTCTGCTGCCTCTCTTTGTATCATGGATTCCCAGGGCAGCTATCCATCTGGAAGGCCTGTACTTGCTAATATACAAGTGTTGAGACATGGTATAAATATCTCCACAAACATGACTCTGCTAAATATTTATAAACAAAACCAAGTTTATGGACATCTAAAATTATGGCAACATGAAAAGAATGTAAAAACTTTACGTTAATAATTACTCTTCTTTGAGAATCAGAACATCCTAGATTAAAAACTTAAAACACAACAAATAGTCTGGTAGCACTTTAAAGACTAACAAAATATGTAGATGGTAACATTTTAAAGACTATTTCTTGTTTAAGTTTTTCCTGTTACAGACTACCACTCAATCCTAGATTATATGATTTTTCAGATATTTTGTTAACCACATTCCTTCCTGCTAGTTGTGCATCCCTGTAGCCAGGCTGTCAATTCCATTGTATAAACATTTTATTAACTAAGGATGTTGATTAGGTGATTACCTGCAATTTGAATGAAATTCTATCAACTAATCAACTACTCAATTCGCCCATAAAGAGGGAAACTGCAGAGCCACAGCCAGGCTCTGAATCCATTAAAAAAAAAAAAAAAAAAAAAAAAAACCCACAGAGGAGCAGCCCCAGGCCCCCTGCCATACCTCTCTCCCCCTGCCCCCTCCCACTCTTGAGATGGTGCTGCGGGGAGGGGAAAGACGACCAGCTTTTAAGCCAGCTTCCCCCAGCACCAGCTCCTGCCTCCTCCCCTTGCTGCCTGTCTCTGATGGAGACAGCAAGGCTGGAGGATCAATTAGTAAAGTCATAGAAATGTAGCCGTGTTAGTCTGGTGTAGCTGAAACAAAATACAGGACTATGTAGCACTTTAAAGACTAACAAGATGGTTTATTAGATGATGAGCTTTCGTGGGCCAGACCCACTTCCTCAGATCAAATAGTGGAAGAAAATAGTCACAATCATATATACCAAAGGAAACAATGTTTTCATTGTTTCCTTTGGTATATATGGTTGTGACTATTTTCTTCCACTATTTGATCTGAGGAAGTGGGTCTGGCCCACGAAAGCTCATCATCTAATAAACCATCTTGTTAGTCTTTAAAGTGCTACATAGTCCTGTATTTTGTTTCAGTAAAGTCAGTACTTGACTGCATCCCTTTTAGTAACAGTCCTAAACTTTAAAAACCTGTATTGTTCAAACATGCTGAAGATGAAGCCTTGGGAGTAAGGTATGGATTAGGCAGTGTCTCGCAAACACTGGTAAGAGTAGCCTTTGGGGGTACTTGAGAGAAGTCTGGGGGTACATCAACTGAAATTTGGAGAAAACTGAATTATTATTTTTGTACTTTTTATACCCAAAAGTGTCATCACCTGCCCGGCTACGATTAAGTTGTTTAAACAAATGTGTTGCAATGGTAGAAAAAACAGTGTGTGAGAAAACTGTAAGTACTAGGGGTACTTTTTTAAAAAAAGGGTACTTTATAAAAATAAGGTTAAGAAACACTGGATTAGGGGATTGGGTCTGGGGGGGAAAAATCAGGGCGCCGGGGGATAGCTTGGCGTCAGCGTGTGCACAAGATCACATGGCTGGAAGTGCTTGCTTCCAAACGACAGCCTGGTGTGAGCAGGGGGTGTGCATAAGCCACTTACAA